TTTTGCTGTTTAGTAATTAGTAATGTAATTATTTTTTCAAAATTAATATATGCAGACTTCATGGTTGAATTTTGGACTACTGTACTTGCCTTATAGTCTTGGGCACACAGGTTTCTTGCATGCATTCTCATCCGAGAATGCACTGAAGGAACAGCCTCTGCTGTCCTGACAATGACCCACTTTCTGCATTTGGGCTCTTTAAATAAACATACATAAATATGAAGTCGGCAGATACTCAGAACATGGTTTACACTGAAAGTTGGGCAAAAATATAGCTCATTGTACATCCCAATAATGATCCAACCTACATTTTATTTTTGTGTCCAAACAATGTAGAAGATGGCTTTATCAATTATATTAATATATCCAATAAATATTGTGTCACTTTATTGATTAGATGAGGAAGTAGCACATGAAATAATTGTTGTTTGGAAACTCCTTTTTATTGGTTCATCTTTAGCCAGGAGGGTAGCAGCAGCCACACCACACCAAGAGGAACAAAGAAACAAAATCAAAAGACAAACGACAACAACAACATTGGTGCTCTTCATCTCCCCTGACCACTGTAAAATAAATACTGCACTCATCAACACCATCCTCATGATTATTGTTACCGCCATTGTTGCAACCATTTAAATAAATATCCATGAAGCAATACCAGCAGTGAAACAGAAAGTGTGAAATGCATATTGTTCCATATATAATATATTCATTTTAGATAGATTTCTATATATATTTGTTCCATATACTCTCCTTAAATTCTTTTACAACATACAAGATGCCAATTTGTACCAAAAGCGATGCTTGCTAAGACACAAGAGGAGAAGTTTACTGGTTATAGTGGCAGCCTGCATACGTACAGCATCACACAGGTTCCTGACACGAGCTCCGGTCCTGAGGGAAGAATGTCGGAAACGTTTGGAAATGTTTATGGGAAGTCTTGGAATTAAAAGATTTATATATTGAAACGCTTTATCTGTACATACAGATACACACAGCATAGCAGAAGTGAGGTATGGAAATAATGACTGCTGTATTGAGTGTAGTTTCTGACTACACCAAGCTGTAAATCATCCAAAACAAAATTCTTTTTTTACTTGCCCTTTATGAGACAACTTGATAAAACAAAATGTCTCAAGAGACACCAATCGAATCATCTCTGACTAAATTTCCTTTGAAAAATCATTTAAAATGAGAATCATTGGAAGTCTTTGCATTGTGCTCCCTACCCACCTTGCGCCACTCTGTGTGTATCTGCAGTACATACAAAACATCACATAAAGAGGTTATGATTGGACAACTGTCACTGTAAATATTTTAAAGCTACTCTGAACACAGATGAAACATAAGTAGTTAAAAAACAATTTCCTCTGCAACTTCATCCAGCTCACATAGAAAACAATCCGTGTACAAATGTTCCTCAAGTCGTCTCCCCAAGCACCAAGATCTGACTGAAGTGATCCAGCCATTGTAGAGGAGACTGTGTGTGTGTGTGTGTGTCTGTGTAGAACCAATCTGAGACCATGACCACAGTAATGCAGTTAAATTTGAAAAGTTTATGTTCACATTATTGTTTTCAAACACCACAACAATAGAAAAGTGTTTGTTTCTTCTATCAGGCAGACCGGATGAACCAGCAGCGTCTGCACATGGCCGCCAAGTGGTTTTCTGCTGCTTTTGAAGCATTGTCATTCACAGAGCATGCATGCAGGATAGAATGTGCCAGCGAATTATCAAAAATGGCTCCCATGATCAAGCATACATCAGCATTTTTGAAAAGCTCAGTTTCTCCTTTTGTCTACATAACAACATGGGAGTGGCATCTTCCAACGTATCCACTTGTTCTGCTGTGGGTAGTCGAAAACACTTGATGAAAAGTGAACATGTAGGAAAATAAAGTTTTCAAATTCATCAGCCTTAATGTGGACATAGTGTCAGCCTAGGTGATTTGCATTAACATGTGTCAATTACATAGATTATTTTTGGTTGCCAATACTACTAATAATAATAATAATAATATCATAGTTAACTCTAAAAGTGGAGAAAGTTGCAACATTAAAAAAGGAAGAAAAAAAAAACATATTTAAATTGAGTGTGTCCTCCACAGTTGCCAACCTGTCTATCAAAGTGAAACCTTTGATGAGCACAGAAACATTTGGGGCAACATTCACACACCCTGAAAGCCAACAGCAGTAACACATTAAAACTACTAGTAAAACGTTTCTTATCACTCTTCACTAAGTCTTGTTTTACTTGTGTCATGATGTTCTACATATGACAACCAAACCATAAGGCGTGAATGTGAGTACATGTGAGTAAAGAATAACTTTGGTTGGTGAATAGCCTTTTTCAACTGAGCTTTCTTTGACATTGAGTAATTCTGTCAACTTACAAACCCTTTATAATCCTTAAGGCCTCAGTATGATTCAAACATACTTGTTGGTCCATCATGTCGTCCAACTACATCTAAAGGCAAAGGTGTTTATACCATGTGGAGCATACTGTATGAATCACAGTTAATCTTATAAATCGAACGCATCCATAGACTTCAATAAATAAAGAAATGAAAAAAGAATGAAAATTATACCTTGACACCTGTGCACCACACGATTGTCTGACTGTCTATAGAAATATGATTTGATACAGCTTCTAAATTCGGCCATCAGAAAAGGGGTTTAAGGCGCTGTTAGAAGAACCGCTAAGCACTTCCTTTGAAGCATATTGAGGCCTTTTATTTGTATAAAGTATACTAGTGATCACAGCTGCACTGTTATACATCTGAGTAATATTGTTTGACAAATCCTGACTTTGTTCACTTTTGGGCCAGCAAAAAGAACAGGGGGGTTTTGGGGGTTGATGGTAAATATGTATTTGTTGTCAAAAAAGGTTCAAAATCAAGTTATAATACTGTGCTATAGTAAGGGGTGTGGTGATGAATTGCTGTTACAACATTTTCTTAAGTCCTTATTCAGTGTTTGCTGTCAGAGTTGCCCCAAAAGTTCCTGAATTGATCATAAGTGGACTGTAAATAAGTAAATGTTCATTATAATGGAAAAACAGCCGTAATAATATCAATCTCATAGAAACAAAATAAAGCAGAATAAAAATAGTTATACAGTTAATAGCCCATATTTACATATAAAAATATAGCAAAGTAACATTTAACAAATCAGGTCAGTGTGTGTCTGTCTGTGCTTAGGTGACGCACCCTGACACACGTACACACACACACAGAAAAGCCCATATGCATCCACACATGAACACACCCACGCACGCCTAAAAACATGTACATGCATACACTCAAGCGTACACACACGTGCACACACCTGATGCTGTGTGTATGTTGTTTTTTATCAGCTTTGAATCCTTCCTTCTTGAAAAAGACATGCACTGTTGTATTTACGTTTTACATTTTGAACTATGTACCTGAAGTGCTAAATACGTTCAGTAGAAGCATTGAAAGTCCTTTTTAACCAAAAAAAATGGAAGTCACACTGCTAATTTTATTAGAGCATGAATGGTCTCCATCTGACTTAATGGCGACATCAACATCCTCTCTTTCCTTCCCTCCATCCAGCCTTTCTCTTTCCTCCCAGCATCCCTCTCTCCCCATCAGCTGTCAATCTGCCAAACACCACAACTCCACTCATCCTGTCCCCTCACTTCCCTCCCTCCCATGCTCCATTCTTCTCTGGCCCATTAAGAGCTATCATGAAGCTAATTGCCTGTTTGATCAACTCTCTATGGACCAGGAACTGGAGGCTTTTAGCCCTCTGAGCGTAAGAGGAGAGATGGACAAGGCTGGAGGAATATATGGGTGTGTGGGGAAAAATGTTTTCAGCTGGCTTTCGCTGGTTGGGTTATGTTGAAATTGTTTTTTCTTTTTGTTATGTTGTAACTTCAAAGGAGACACTGAGAGGAGAAAACATTTTGTACATGTCTGTGCCATTTGCTAGAAGATTTTTTTTATTTTATGTTCAGTATGGAGGACTATCTAGGTGTCTAGCTCGGACTGCTGGGATATTCAAAGGTCATCAAAGCTGTATAACTCAATTTGTTGGTGAGGGATGTGCACAGCTCCACCACCATCAAAATACCCTGACACTTGAGCCAATAGCCTGAGTAAGAAGGAGACACAAAAATGGTTCAGAAAAAAGAGCATTTGATTTGAGGATGGGAGGAGCGTGGATTAAATGTGATACGTGAGGAGAGAAGGATGGAGGTGGGGGCAGTGAAGGAGGTCGGTCAGAGGAGGGAGGTTGGCGACAGACTGACTTCGGGAGGAAACCCGACCAGACCCTCAGAGCTCTACTGAAGCAGCACTGCTAAAAATAAGACAAGGGAGGCTTCTTCTGCTGACAAAACAACATACACACAGGCTCTACATACACAGGTTGTTGTACAGTAGGAGGACACACACAGACACACACACACACACACGCTGCCTGGTCACAATGGATGCACCCTCCCTCTGGTTAAATAATCCCCCATTCAGCTCTAAGCTGCTGGGGAAAACATTGTCCATCTACCTCACAGTGCTTTTCCTTTACAAATGAGCTTAATAGCATTGAGATTCTCTCAGTTCGTACAGTGCATGGTCCCTTTATTTGGTGTCAAACTGTTGTTACAGGTGTGTTACAAGTGTCTTTGTTTTCACTTTATGCCTTGGTGCTTTTCTCAGACTCCCAGTCTGATAATCACTACGGCACAATGTTGGTTTCTCATTTCATTCATCTTCAACCTTTTGTGGAGTTTTCTGAATGTCCTTGTGGTTTAAGTCCTCAATCTCCCATGTTTCTTCTGTTTCTCTCTTTCTAAAAGACAGAAACTCTATTGGCATAGGCCATACACATCGCCACAGGCGTCTTTCCTTCCTGATTTGGTCCATCGCCTGTCTGTGTGCTCTGTGCATTCTCTTTGCAAAGGGTGAGGAGGAAGGAGGTTCAACAATAAATAAATAGATTTTAAGACGTCCAGATTATACCACAAAATGCAGAGAGAGAGAGAGAGATTTTTTTGTCTGGAAGTCTTGGTTAAGGTTGAAGGGCAGTCCAGCAAAGCACGACAGCTTCTTCTTTTTCAGGACAAGTTTTTGTGTTTAGGCATGAAGTCTCCAACATGAACAGGCACAGTAAAGCTTTGGTCCCTCCTGAGCTGGAGAAGAAGTAAATTCAAGGTACATTAGGTGAACAACACTTCACGGTTGGATGGTTGGTTGGTTGGTTGGCTTGTCGTACGTAGGTAGGTGGGTCACAATGGCATTGTCGTCACAATGTCAGCTGTGGCACTGTTGGCGACAGCGTTGCTTTGGCGACGGCGATGGGGAAATGGATTTACCTGGCCCCCATCCAGGCCTGTCATAACGGCTTTTCCAGGGCCTTGCTACGGAGTGAGGGATGACCAGGGTTAGGGTTGGTTGCGGAAATCTTGCGGCACACAGTATTGGTGTTGCTGCACCTGCAGCCGGGGCGTGTGGCACGGTCGTGGGCACACTGGCACAGGGCAAGGCACAGCCTGGCAGGGGGGTAGCAGCAGAGGCAGGGCAGGCAGAGCGCCAGCAGCCCCATCGTGCCCCAGCGGGCACAGGCGTGGGCTGGAGCGCAAGAGCATGGCCGGTCAGCACAGTTATCCTCATCATCCTGGGCGGAGCAGTGGTAGAACAGGCCTTTAACACAGCACAAACAGGTGCCATACTCCACGGCGCTTTCGGCAGAACATAGACAGCGTTGTCCACAGGCCCAACAGGAAGGCAGGCGGCGGGGGGTGCAGCACTCTTGGCACTTACAGCGACCACACCGCTCACAGATGAATAAATGAAGGCCCTGCTCAGCCTCGTCCTCTGTCAGGCCTTTACCCAAAGAAACATCAGGCTTGAGTTCTCCTTTAGGCTGAGAACGAACCACTGAACCTAAGCCAGAATGAGATGGTGTCAAACCTGCCAGTAGCCGCTGGTCTGAGGTGGCACTGGTCCGAGACATGGAGGAGCTTATGGTACTGGAACGGCTCAGGTGGGACAGGTGAGCGTGCTGCTGCTGACTTTGGCTGCGGGGCAGGGCTGAGCGAAAGGAAGGCTGGGGGTGATGGGAGAATACTCCATGGGGGTAACGATCTTCATGGGCGTAGAAAAATCCGGACTGGGTTGCCGGTTCCAGTGCCACGGGCCTCTCCACATAGTCATTGTTGGCCCGGATGGCACGTATCTGGTCGAGCGACAGCACTGGGACCTGCTGAAGGTCCAGCCCGTCCAGCTCCCCGCCGAAGGAATGAGCAGGGTCCATCCTGGTGAGCCAGACTGGGTGGCACCAGGGCTGCAGGCCGGGGCTGGGGCAAAGTGCTCCCAACTCTCACGGCACATCAGATAAACCTGCAAAAACACAGAGAAAGGAAGCGATAGTGATTAGTTGACCTGCTACCTTTTTAGTGATTCTATTGTCTTATCACACAAGCCTGTTATTATACAGACAAATGCAAGTTTTGCACATGCAAGTAGGGCTGGGTATTGTTTAAAACCTTGCAAACCTTGAAGTCACAAGCCTTTTCATGTCATTGTAAGGTTACAGCAGTGAGGAAATTTACCAGACAAAGCCATTTATGTCTTAACTATAATCGTGCATGCCACAAATGTAGTTATGATTAACATAATTATAATTTATTAATTATTCAGTGTCTAAATTGGCATAAAATGTGGTCCTACCTTAATTTATACCCTTTTTTAAAATAACTTATTTTGTTGGTCAAACAGTTAAAAACACAAAGATATTCTATTATCAATAATATTCAAGTAATTCAAGATTCAAGTAATGAATTGACTATCAAAATTGTTATTAGTTAATTTTCTGCCAATCAAGTAATCAGCTAATCAGCTTCAGTACTAAATGAATGATGCGTCTAACCAGAGCACAGAAAGTAGCTTTGCTTTCATTAACTCTAAAATTATAATCTGAAACATTTTCATGATATGATACAAGAAATATTCAGGCTATGTTCTGTGTTCACTGTTCCATGGAATATTTTCCATTTGCTGAACTAAACACATCCTCTGGTGCACAGGAACTGATGTGTTTTGTTTCTGGTCTGTTTAAAATGAACGGAAAAAGATTTGCCTAGTTAGCATGTGAACCAAAGCCACAATGACTGGACACAAAGTAGTACCACCTCCAGAAAGTAAAAAAGCATTAGCAGAAAACCCAGAGAATAGATCATAGTCACACCAACTGTTTGATTAACTTTGTGGTTTACAACTTTTTAAGTTTTCTTTTGAACAGTGGAAACAAATTAAAATGGAGCTCAGGCAGAACAAATGCAACAGAAAGGTTAGAAATTGTGGCATCTGACCAAACAATCATGGAGTCACTGGTTTGTGTTTATAACATTATTATAAAAGTTATTATCTGATATTGAGCAAGAAAAAAGACCCTTCAGAACTGTTTTACCAACAAATATTCAGAAATATTCAAAATCAAACTCATTAATACATTTTGCATAATTTATGGCAGAAAGGGAACACCACATTACATACAGCAGATAGCCTTCATGTTATTTCCCAAATATTTAAGCAGCACTTGATCAAATATGGATTTTGGCAGCACAGCCTCCACACAACCATCAGCCATGTCATCATGACCGCTGAGGTTCTCCACTGCTCAGGCTAACGCTATTATTAGCCTGCCAGAGCCAGATAGATGCGACCATCAGGTCCACACTGTAATTTAGCATCTGTTGAACACAGCTGCTGCTGCCACGGAGGAAACCCACCTGCAGACAGAGAGGCTGGCAGCATGGCCAAACAGAAAGACTAGAGGAACTGTAAAGTAACAAAACAAATTCAGTTTATAAATCAACATGTTTCCTGTTGAAGGGTGAGCGTTTATCTGCTAAGCTTTACAAGTATGCTCAAGTCTGTTTTTCATTGGAAAGTATGTGGATTATCTGCAGTAACCGGGACATTGTTTCCGGAAAGATGTTGGCTTTTTGAAATATTTCTCTTGAGGTCTCGCAGACTCATATCTCAAAACCAGAGGCCTTAAAACCAAAAATATCTCAGTGGTTACACTATTTTAGCTAATGAGAAAAATCATCGGATTTCAGGATTTGTTTTGAGGCACCCTTAATGTGGTGGATTTTGCTTGTTTGTCCCACCTCAACAACACCAAGGCTTCTTGCTTTTTGACCAAATTTGGGTTTTCTGGCTTCAGTAAGTGATAAAAATGGGCAGTAAAACCAATCTCCAGGATTCCAAACAATCCTTTCAGAAAATAATTGGTACAATGTTCTTGTTTTTCTGCAGATTATTTATTATTGTTATATTAAAAAAAATCTCAGTTTCAGAAAATTATGACATGAGATAGAAAATAGTGCATAGTGTACTCATTGTAATGATGGGTAAGACTGCAACTAAATGCTTAAAAGATAAATATAAATTTGCTTAGGAGTGCAGTTAATGCATGAGCAAAAAAGGCAAAATTAAATAAAAGGCCCAAGTCTAGTTGAATGTGCAGCTGATTTGATTTCCTGCTCAGGCATCAGATGAGCCCTGAAAGAAAATACACAACTCAAAAAAACAAAAACAAAAATGAGCTTGATATCTACTGCTCGCTTTGGAAGGAAAACGTGTTTCTTTTATATTTCTGTGTATAATAAAGATAGATGTATGTACAAATACTGTACACACATATATATACACACACATACACGCTCCGCTATACATACACAAAGAAACTGCAGTCTTGCCAAGACGGCTAAGGGGGAGAGATAGCTGGCTTGCTCCTCACATGGTGCCAGTCCTCTCAGAGAGTAATGAGGCCAAATGGAAATGCATTTAAAGCAGCTCAGATCATGAGATTAGATGGAGGAGGGAGGTAAGAGCGAGCAGCAGCAACTAACCATAGGCCACGTGCATGTGAATACAGAATCATAATCATAATAATCAGCATTATGCATTACCACCACCCTCTTTTAAGAAGTGGTTGAATAGACCATTGTGAATCGTTTGGGTGTCAGTATGCTTCAGCTGTTTGTTGGATTGTAGAACAGCATTTAAACTAAACCTAGTCAGAACCATACATCGTACAGACTATTTTCTTTGGACCATAACCCGACCTTGAGTGTGTGTTGATCTGTTAGGTCTAAGCAGATTCATTTTTTCCTTGCTTCCTGTTAAGATGGAATTATTGTCCTGCAAAGGTACACATATATGTCTGCTGATCTATGCAGAGATGGGTGATCTGGGCAATCAAAGGTTCACAGATGAGCCAATGTGCACACTTACCAGTTTTTTTCTGGCAACATGTTGGGCAAACCCTATGTGTCATCCAAGCTGATTGTTTGATCAACTTTCTGTTAAAACAGGTTAAAAATGGAAAAAGAAAAAACAGCCTTGCAAAAGTCTCTGAACAACATCTCTGCATGTTTGCTCACATGCAGCCCAGAGAAGCATTTTCCAGCCCTTAATCATGGCTAATGTGCCGCTGATGAATTGCAGAATTGGTTTACCTTTTTGCTGTTAATTGCTGCTGGTTCACCCTGTCAGCGAAAAACAACCTCTACCACACAGGAAGTTATACATATCATAATAACAGGGTAGTTTGTATGTGCAGCAGAGACCACCTGCGTAACAGCAGAGACGGAAACACAAACTTTGCATCATCAACCAAAAATCCCCTAAAAGTTAGACAACAAAGGCAAAACACATTTACATCTCAGAGGGGAGGAAGAAAAATTGTGGTCCACTGTTATATGTGACATCAAACAAAACTCTACACCTGAATAAAACAAATTTGCTCAGAATCACCATTGGCCACATAATTTTATCAAGTGTCATATTGTCACCAGACGATTTCATTGAAGCCATAATAATGATCACATCCTATTATTGCCCAGTTCTGTACAGTTAAATACAGAAAGGAGAAAAATGGCCCTTAGAAAAATGCAGGACAAAAGCAATAGGAGAGGAGATCGGGGATGTGGATGAAACCCAAGAATGGCAATCCATCACTGGGAAGGAAGGAGAGGTGATTAGCAAGCCGGACTGTAAAACAAAAATAAAAACAACAAAAAATAGCTCTTCCTGTCCTTCAGGCTTTCAGAGGAGAGTCTTGTAAACAAATTGTGGCAGTCTGAGCATAAAGGTGCTCTACCCTCCAGCACCTTTGTGTATCTATCACTCAGTCCCCTCCTTCCAGAGGTCCAGCTATAAAGGAGCAGATAAGAAGGCCCAGGTTGGTTAGATGAGGATGCATTTTCAAATTAGTCCGAGGAGAGAGGAGAAGTCCTGGTGACTAATCACATCAAGCAGAGCAGTGGCCGCGGCTCTCTCATACTCTGCCCGCCTATCAGCCCATCTAATTGTTAAAAAGAAGAGGCCTGCCGTCCATTTCCATGACCTCATATTTACTTACTGGTTGAGCCAACCACTTCCAGCCCCCCCACCCAACCCCAACAAGGCAAAAAATACTGTGAGTCACAACAAAAAGTTAGAGACTGTGGCATCTAAGATGGAAAAATGTAGTGGAGCATCCCTTCGAGTTCAACTTAAATTCAAAACTCAAGTAATATGAACAAATATAGAATTTGGGGTTTTGGACTGTTGTTTAGACAATATACAAGATTTCGAGACATCACCTCGAGCTGTGGGAATATTTAATGTGCATTTTTGAAAACCTTTTTCTGACACTTTATTGACCAAGAAAAGAAATGTCTGATTAATCCATATTAAAAACATAATTGCAGCTGTTCCACCAACATCCATCCAAATTTCAGCTTATTTCACTACAGAAATCCTTTACTGTAACCCTCAACTTAGTAGTTGTGACCTAAATGACCAGCGCTATATTTTTTCCCACAATGGCAGGCAAGGAGATATACACTTGAGAAAGCTTCCACTATTTTACATTATTTTTTATTTTGAACATTATTTCTAGCATGCTCTGGTTGCACCTGCACATGATGTGAATTGAATACATTGGCCACACGGAGGGCTACAGTTGTTTTGGGTGGTGATGCTTAGTCTGGCTCTGCTGGGAGTGTCTGTTATCAACCCTCTGGCAACAACAGCTGGGAAGAGAGCTGTTTGTGTGCGTGTATGGGTGTGTGTGTTAGTGTTTGAGGATGGTGTAGGGCGGAGCAGGCAGCACCCTCCCCTCTCACATTACAAGCTGATCTGAGGGCAGTGTGTGTTTTTTAAGTCACATGAAGGTTCCCTGTGGAGTTTTAGACCTAAAGTAGTGCCATGGAGCTGTTTTTCTATGAGTGGGTCCATGTTTTGTTTATCTCAAGCGTGTGCACAAGGACGCACATGCACACGTGAGTAACGCGATACACAGTCCCACCAATGGTGTCACACTATTCCACCGATCAACAGGTGGT